GAGCATGTGTCCACTCTGCCTCTGTCATGGCTGAGCATGTGTCCACTCTGCCTCTGTCACGCTTTGCCAAGGATGGCAGTCTTCCTTCTTTGTCTTCCAACGTGCAACAAGGACCAGCAGCTCTCTGGAAGCCTCTAGGGCACCAGCACCAGACTGGGACTGCTGAGGGCTTCATGCAGCCTCAGGCCCTGGGTAGCTTCGGATTTTCTGCCTCTCAAGGGTGAAGACAGCCATACAGTCTACCCAGCCCTCACCATGTCAGTGAACCTATAACGTATGTCTTATCAGTTCTATTCTTTTAAAGACCTAACATAGAAGGGGAAAAGAAGTTTGCAAATAAGTCAAAGTAACTGATAATAGTATAGAGAAATATTTATTTTGTCTTTCTCCTTACATAGAGAGATTCATAAATACTAAGAAAACATCCTCAACGCCATTAGGTCTAAGACGCACATTTCTTTCCTCTTAAGAATTAAAAATGGCAAGGCGCTCTGGCTTGCTGCCTCATGATGTGGTACACCCCAGCTCTGCGTGCACACTCCACTCATAGTGAAAACTCTAAGCTGTGTGAAACCACAGTTCCTGAGCCTGGCTCAAGGACAGGAGTGCAGAGACGTAGCGCTCTCCGGAGCAGAGGCATCCTCAGAGGTCACAACCTTAACCGTGGCCAAGAACTTGCCCCTCTCGCCACACTGAGGAGACCCTCTGAGAAAACCATGGCTAGGAGCTTCTCTGCATCCTCAGTATAAAGTACACAGTGCAAGTGAAGTAATCCGGAGAGACGTGAGGGACAGCAACTGATGTGCTCTGGGGTTTTCCTTCTTACACACTCACTACAATGCTGTAGTTGTGAGATGTGCAAAACATATTCCTTGCAAGGTGAGCGCTGAGTCCCTATAGGTTAACATGATCATTTTCAACATCTATTTGTTAATCATTTCTGCAGGCTTCAAAGGACAAAAGCCATAAATGAAATCACAAAGCCACATCTAACTCATTAGAAGAGTAAGACACTGTGGCAGCCGCCCTGCTTTTTTGTTCAAGGGTAGCTCTGTGCGGGAGTCTGTGGGCAGCCGTGTAGGCCTATGCTCTCCCACTGTTCTGTAAGCACCTGGCTAGGCTTGCACAGTGACTATAGAGACCCCAGGACAGAAGATCAAAGGTCCGCACAACCTATGGCTTTTTATTAGTAGTATATAAAGTATCTGAAAAAAATCAGTCCCTGCCTAACCTCTGTACCTGCTTCCACTGACAGATGCATGAAAGAGGCACCAAGACAGGCAATAACACACATTCCACCTATTTCACCGAAGGCTAGTGTTTCAATAGTGCAAGTGCAAAGAACTATCAAAAGAAGAAAATGATTATTTTCAGTTTCCTACTCAGTTTCTGGATGTTTCCCATAGAGAAAAAGCAAATGTGAGTTTTATATTATTGTAGAAAAATTACTTTTTCCTTCTCATAAACTTTTTTGCTTCTTTCAAAAGTTCTTCCACATCTTCCTTCTCATCATCCTTTCCTGGTTGCCAGTCTGAATCTTCGTCTGTCGGCTCATACTCCTCCTCCTCCTCCTCCTCATCGTCTGGAAGGCTATCGTTCAGGTCATTCTCAGTGGGAATATCATCACTGTCTTCATCTACAGCAATTCTGACTGGAAAAAAAAAGCAATATTGGCAAACAACATAACCATCACTACTCAACCTGGGGTAGGGATGTCTCTTTTAAAATGTCTACCTGCAGCAAGAATTAATATACAGCTTACTTCTGTAAGTTTTTAGAACAGGCCCTAAGGTGATCATTTGTTTCTTTTATTCTAACTCTCCACACTGTGAGTCCCTGTGACTAGCCTGGCCTGTGAGAATCAAATTGACGTCCCCCAATAACACCATGCCACCCAGTATTCCCAGTGGGAGAAAACGCTTCATCCCAGCTAGGCTCTGTCTCTTAGGACACAATCCTTAGATGTGCTCAGAATTCAATAGCATATTTGTAAAAAAAAAAAAAAAAAAAAAAAAAAACTTTTTATATTTTTATAGCTGTTTTGTAAATTTCACATCATGCACCTCAATCTCACTCATCTCCTTGTTCCTTGCAATCTTCCCCCCCCCAAAAAAAAAGAGGCAAGTGGATGATCTCTCATCCACACTGAGCTGGCCTAAGTTCAAAGTGGTGGCAGATGCTTGGAAAGCACATTTAAGAACCAAGTGGGAAGCGTCTCCTCCGGAAATCTCAGGAGCAGAGAGTAACCCTGGGCAGCAGGTACACAAAGAAAGGCCGTCAAGTCTAGAAACACACGTGACACGAGAGCAGGGCTTACTCCAGCTACTGAGGGACTGAGTCCTATCATCAGAAGAATCTTAGTTTCTTTCTCCTTCATGTTTCATACTCATAAATGTGTGCTTCGTTAATAGGAAGCCTAGAGTCTGATGATTCTGAGTTTCCTAAGCTGGTGCTTTACTGACGTTCTAAACGAAGAAACATCACTGTGTTACAGGGGTCGACTGCTCTGAGGTTCAGCTCTCCCTCTTTGTTAACACCAAGAATCTGTGCCCCAAGATACTTCATTTTCCCTTTAGAGTCGCAGTTTTACTATGTAGCCTGGTACGGCCTCAAAATTATGATTCTTCTGCTTTTGTCTCCAGAGTACTTAGGTCACAGACATAGCTGGACATGTGTTAACATAGTTTTAAATGCTGTTATTTATTTATTTACTTTTTATTTGTGTGTGTAAAATGACAATTTGTGGGAGCTGGTGTTCTCCCTCTCCCTTCGGCCCCTCTCTCTCATCAGGCCTGGGAGCAAGTACCTTTACCATCTGAGCCATCTAGCTGATCCTGACAAGTGACAATCTTTGTGGAACCAATGAAGAGACTCTCCTACAGTAAATTCAGTTAAAGTATTAAATGGAGCAAACGCCATTTAGATTGCAGTCTCCTTCCTTTGTTTTCAATGTTAGCAGGTTCTGAAGGTGTTTTTAGAAATGTCTGTTTCTGGTCTTTCAGTGTAACCGGACCTCAGAATTTAACACATAACCTAGGAATAGGCTGTCTCTACCATAAAAATAAATGCTTGCATGAAAAGAGAATTTAGAGAACAGTTAAAGGCAAGGTAAGAAGCCCTCTGCTGCACATGTTATTCAAGATGAAACCGTGGCATCTCGGTTTAGAACGATGAGCGAGAAAAGTTTCCACACACTCAGGACAACACTCACTACTTGAAAACTGTAGAGAAACTTTCTGACACAGGGCACTTCTCAGCTGGAGAATGGGGGAACTTGGTCTTCAGTCAACCCAAAGACTCCCGAGGCCAGGCGTTGGTGCAGACCATGCCCTGCCAGTGAGAAGCTCATGATGCAAAGTGCCAGGGACCCACAAGAAGCTGTTCTGCCCTCAAAATCAGAAACAAAACAGGTTCCTAGCTGTGACTCCCAGCCGATGCGCTCAGAATTCAATAGCATATTTGTAAAAAAAAAAATAAAAAAAACTTTTTATATTTTTATAGCTGTTTTGTAAATTTCACATCATGCACCTCAATCTCACTCATCTCCCTGTTCCTTGCAATCTCCTTCCCCCTCCCCAAAAAAAAAAAAGAGGCAAGGACTGACAGAGCACAGCAGAAATGACCCCCACTCAGCACCACCAGCCCCAGGTCACCGAGACAAGGAACTAAGTGGTGGAGAGATGGAAGAGAAAAAGAAGCAGAACAGTATGGGCACAGTGAAGAAACCGGAAGGTAGTGAGGAACAGCCTGATGTGAGCAGCCTGCGATGCCACCTGAGGTGAGGCTCTGGCTCATGCTGCCACCGTCATGGGCCACGGCTCACCGTGGAAACTGCGGTGTGTCACAGTGTGTCAGACAGTATTCCCTTTTGCCCAAATAGCTCTACTTGCAAATTTTCATTGCAGTGAGTAACTGGTCTGGTTCGAGGCCTCTGGCTTCTGCCACACTATCAGTTCGGTTTGTGAGAAACAGTAGTGATGTAAGTCCAGATATCTGTGGTGTAAGCAAGCAATGAGGAGTTCCCGAGCTTGCTTTCTGTTGCTCTGATAAACACCATAACATGGGGAGGAAAGGGCTTATTGCATTTTGCAGGTCACAGTCCATCACTGGGTGACGTCAGGGCAGGAAGTCAGGTAGAAGCAGAGGCAGGAACAAGCTGTTTCCTGGCTTGCTCTCTAGCTCACATTTAGCTGGCTTTATTATACAGCCCAGGCCCACATGTCTAGGGATGTTATCACCCATAGTGGGCCAGAAAGACCCTGCTACATCAACCAGCAATCAAGAGAATGCCCTACAAACGTGTTAATTCCTCAATGGTGGCTTCCTCTTTCCTGGGGACTCTAAGTGTGTCAAGTTGACAATAAAACTAATAATGATGAACAAATGCTACTTTATCTAATGGAATTCAATTTTAAAAAATCTATGAAGTAATCAAATTATCTCAAAGATCATCTGTAATTCTAAAAAGATCATTTAAAAGCCAAAACAGTCATTCATCAACATCTCTACCAATCAGTGAAGCAACAGGAACTGTGAAAATGAACTGTCAGCTTGACTGCTTGATGACAGAACAGGAGAAATAAGCTGTCATTCATTTTTACAAACTGATGAGAACACTTAACTGCCTTGATGGTGAAAAGACCTTTTAGAAAAAGTAATAAACTATAAGTCTGACCACCTATTATTCACCAGACAGTGTCAGGATACAGCCATGCTGGCCTTCTCCAACTCTGCAGAGGAAGCTGTGACACCAGAATGACAGTTCTGGGGCGGGGGACACAGCTCAGCGCCAGTGCTCTTGCCTAGTACAAAGCCCTGGCTGAGTTTCCCAGGAGGATCTTTACAAATTGCTGCTGCACATGCTTCGCAGCACATTAATAGCTTAATTCGTCAGGTTTTGTCTTCCTTCTTCTTTCCTCTAAATATTATTTGGTACAATATCTCTAGAGAAGATAAAATTACCATAGTTATGATAATATTTTTTTTGCTAATGTTTCATTTTACAACCAAAGACTAGTTTGTGTTTTTGTTGTTGTTATTGGGTTTTGTTTTTATTTTGTTTTTGTTTTTAATGTACCAAGCGAGTAGTAGGGTTCCACACTTGGAAAAGTAGCTTTAAACTTCCACTGCACATCATCACACCACTGCCTCAGGCTCTCTGACAGAGTGTGCTCCTGCTCTCTTAGCTCTTCCCGCCTAAGCCTCAGCGTGAATCTCAGATAAGCCTCACGCTCTTCCTCAGTTGCTTTCTTTCTAGATCTCTTGGGGTTCAGTTTCTTGGAGACAGGGGGCACATTTCAACATGTGGACACACAGGCGACACAAGTTTAGCATGTTTACAGCAGCTCTCGGTTCTTAGATAACATCTTCAGTTGCCTAGAAAGGTGCACACCACACCGTAACAGGCTTGAAAGAACAACTCCAAAAGTCAGATGTGAAAAGTTGGCGATAACTGCTCTTAAATGCTGTCAAGAGATAAGACAGCTAACAAAGTATATGACAAAATTTTCCTGGCACTGATTTCTCTTGCATTCACTATTTGTGCCAATGCTCTAGCACTCTGAAAATGTGTGGAAAGCTAATAAGAGCTGATGCTAGGCAGACATGGAAGAAACGTGGCAGATGGCAGCAGAACAATGCATAAGCAATGCAACCCCTTAGCTGCAACCTGTACAGAAACCCCATGGACTCAGCATTTCAGGGGGCTACAAATGAGAACTTAAATACTTAGGGTCTGGGGAGTTGCTTCAAGGCTGAAGCTATGTATTATCTCGTGTGGCCACGAGTACCCAACTCAAACACAACATGTTTAATGTTTTCAAAAAAGAAACAAAAACCGACACAGTTCTTTCTCCTTGCCTTTGTTGCGTGCGACATCACCTCCATTCTCCTGGTCGCCTGCTCTACAGTTCAAGGCCGCCACTGCCCACTCTCCTTCACGCCGGCCCATTCCAACTGCTGGCACAACAGTCCTAGCTTACCAATTCTTTCAAGATCTTTTGGCTTTGGGGCACTTCTCATATCTCTGTGACCTTTCTCACACAGAAGACACTTGACACAGGAAAAAATGAGTGTGTAAAAAAACTTATCTACACATATACAGGATTAGGATATGGGTAATGATGAATGTTAAACACTTGGGAGATGAGAAAATAACTGTCAGAATTCTGTCTTGGATATCTCTTAATTAGGAAATATGAGACCCTAACATTTAATCTAATTCTTTATAGTATTCAGACCCATAAGGTTTACCGGAGGAAAAAATGTTCTGATTACATGAGCACACGGTGATTCCCAAGTCGGCAGAGTTGCTCTCTTCCTACAGCTGTGTTCTAAAATCTCCACTGGGCACCCAAACCACTCAGCTCTCACACTCACACATCCACACCCCCCCCACACACCCTCCCACACCCATGCACACACACAGGATCAAGCTTATTTGTGGCTGGACACAGTTAAGAGATTAATAGCAATGATAACAAAATGGAATAAAACATCAGTAGCTAAAGCTTATGAATTACTTAAGGACTTCTCTATTTGCTGTCTTCACACAAATACTGACTGCAAGCAACTGAAACAGTAGAAAAGCAAAACCAAGGCTACCTGGTGAAATGGCAGCCTAAATGGATATGCTTTTTTTGTTGCTATTAAAAAAACATGGCTTTCTGGTAGAAAAAAAATTTTTTTTCTTTAAATGTTCATTTTCAAAAATAAAAAAAATGAACTTCACTGTTCTAAAGTATATTCTTCATTTAGAAAATACTTCAATAAAATTCCAACAAACTTTAGATATTTAGACTATTAGATATTTTAAACTTTGCTATACGGTGCATATTGACAGCTTTTGGGTAAATAGTTCTGTAATATTTCTATAAAGATACACAAATGTCCTTATATGGGACAATATATTGACATAATCTGCCAATAAAGTTCAGTTAAATAAAATATTACATGATTACTGGAAAATCACTAAATGCAGCCCAGTAAAGAAATTTTGTCAAATAACAACCTGTAGACCCTGCGAGCCAAGAGAAAGGGGTGCATTTACTTCTGGAGTCCTCAGACACTGGAGTGGGCTAATAATAACGAGGTACTCCATGGATTCCTCTCAGCATGAGGTCATTAGTTTGTCACAAGCTGGCTACCCATGCAGGTACCAGCAGTAGAGAGCACAGTCCTGACGGCGTATGCTTATTCTCTCTCCTCACAGGCAGGGCTGTTATTTGCTGAACTGGCCTTTGCATTGTACACCCGGCACAAAGAAGCTGAGCTTTATGGAAAAGAAAATTCTTAGAGAGTTCAAAAACAGGTACAACAAAGGTCAGTTGGACAGTTGGGTTTACACTCTAATAAGGGTGCCCATGATCCTGGTGGTACTGTAGAAGGTTCACGTGCTGGTTCAGAATAATCACCATTACAGTGAATGGTTCAAAGGGAAGAACAAGATCTAGGCTCCTTGAAGGAGGGAAATTCATAGTTTCCTCTGAGAATCTTTACTCTTTCCTGAGATGTCAGCACTGATTCTACTGTTCCAGCTTAATCAGGATGGGAAAATTCCTCTAATTGAGAGAATCCTTGATGGACTAGCTCTCTAAGACAGAGTGATGAAAGAACCTGAGGAGCACTGCTGACAGTAATAATGAGCAATATAAAACACACTATACAAAACCAGTCCCTGCCCTCAGGCTTTCCTGTTACAGAAGTCAGTGTGCTTATATCATTGCTCAGGCCAGTTTGGTACTCTGTTCTCAGGCACTTGAAAACAAAAGATGCCAAATAGATACAGGAAAATCAAACGCTACTGGGCTACAATTGGGAAAAGCATTTGCTATATATAAGTTTATAATTCTTTCATTTATTTGGGACAGGAAATGGGTGTGCTGGCCTCAGACTTGAGCGCCCCCCCAATGTTGGGATTCCAGGTATGAGCTATAATACTCCGCTTCAGAAAGTTTATTTAAAAAAAAAAAAAATCAACTACAAACTCATTAAATAACCGAAGAGGAATAAAACAAATCAGCAACAGTAATTCACAAGGCAACAATATTTTCTAAATAACTAAGTTAATGCGAGAATCACTCAAAGATTTCTTTTGAGTTTGCTGGAGTACAGTCACATACCTGGGCATGCACTGTGTCTATACTCCATCTTGTGCTGGGGGTTCTTCCTGAAAAAGAAAAGAAAGAAAAAATAGGATGGAGCTCTCCAAGGGCTGAAAAGTGCTATGACAATAAAGGAGCATGCTCAGTAACCTGCAAATAAACTCAGGGCCCAGGAAGCATCTTGTGAAAGGATTTGTTCCCCTACTCCCTGGCCCCTTCTTCCCTTCCTCCTCCTCCATCATCATCGTCATCATCGACATTGTCTATGGCAGGTCTTTTTCGATATTCCAGGTTCCCTCGAACTCCTGCTTCAGCCCCTTGGATGGTGGGATTACAGGCCTGTGCTACTCTGCCCAGCAGTGTTTGCTCTTTCTTTACAGTATTTTCATTACAATATTTACAGTATTATAACCATGCCAGGGTTAGTGCTTTTGAACCCAATAAATGAAAAGCAGAGAGAGAGGGCAGAGGAATCAGTGATGTGGATTTAAGAGCTTCACAATAATCAGATGATTAAATCTTCCATTTATAAATTACAGCACCTGTTATTTTTTTAATCAGCTAAGATCTGTACATTTTGTTAAAATGTTCCCTAGTAAAATTATAGTATTATAGTATTACGTCTTTTCTCTTCTGTGCCTCTGATACTACTAAATAAGAGAAATAATTTCTAATTATGTGGAACTATCTGATTTATAAATAGTTGTTTCTTGGTTTTTAAGCATTACCTAATATTTTATATTTGCTCCAAGCATTTTTCCTTATTCCAGGCAATAGGAAGCCATTATAAAAACACAAGTTTAAATTAAGTAATAAGATTTAGAAAGATACGATGTCATTGTATAAGTTGTAACAACATATTTTCTTGTCAGAATTAATGCTAATTTTAAGAGTCACAACAGAAATCCCTGAATCTCTGTAACATTACCCACGAGAGTCTCTGTGATGTCAAAATCTCTGTGTGCTGTCCAGTGCGTTAGATAGTTACTGCATATGGAGAAGCCGAGTTTTTCATTTTATTTGATGTTTGTTAACTTAGTTAAATTATTGCTAACTTGACTAGCATATTGAACAACACAAACTTAAAAAAAACAAACATGGTAGAGCTCCCTGCCTGCTCAAGAGCAACTTATAGTTGATTTTTAAAACTTCCACCATAAAACATCCTCTAGGACTCCCAAGGAAAGCGAAAACTCCACAGGTGGGAAGTCACTATTGAAGGGCAGGGAGAGACTGACACGGAAGCATCCGGTCAGAACCCTGGCCCCAGTGTTCCTGTCTGAGGAGGGCTAACAGCAGAGCCCACAGGCAGATGAAGCTGCAGCTTGGTGGGTGGAGAGGTGCTGTCATTTTCAGTTGCAGAATCAGACAGACTTCTCGCTGCAGGCCAGCCCTGTGCAGGTGTCTGTGGCATTTCTAATGGTGATATCCTTTTCTTCACAACTTTTCCTGTGGGTAAGCATTGAACAGTGCAAGAGCTCAACTGCACAGCTAATTAGGGTCATAACTCAACAGGCTTGAGGGCTGGAAAAGAGTCTACATAAGATTGTGTTGGGGTAATTAACCTAAATCTGACCCCCTGCCGGAACGGAAACTTTAAGCTTGAGAAAAATGAACAAGACACCTGGCAAGTGCTTCAGGGAGCTGCAAACAGCCAAAGCTTCGGCAGCACCTTCCCTACTAGACACGCTGGTGTGCATTACTGACTTGTGAACTCAGTTCCCTGTAAAAGGACAGTCAGTGCAGGCATCAGGCAAGGAGGAACAGAAGTACGGCATTAGACCAAAGACCTTCATCTTTACTTGAGAAAAAACTGCCGGGCAGGTGAGGGCTTTATTAGTTCTTATTTTTAAAATTTCAAACCTACAAAAATGAAAGAATAGGCCACTGACAAATGTTCCTTTCTTTCTTCTCCTCCCCTCCCCTCCCCTCTCTCCCTTCCTTCCTGCTCTTTAGATCAAACCCAGGGATTTGAGCCTGCCAGACAAGTACTCTAACTACAACCCCAGCTATTAAGCTTTATTTTCTGTTGCAGGATATTTGATCCCATTGTGAACCCCGACATTGTGAAAGGTAAAAACCTGTCTTTTGTTTGGTGTGGTTCAGCCCTAACACATGCCTTTAATCCAAGAACTTTCTGTTTATTGTAAACAGGTGATTATGGTGTGGCTCAACCAGCCCTAGCACAAGAGTCTTCTGTACTTCTGTACAAGAGTCTTCAAGATTTAATAAAGTTAACCCTAGGTCAAGAGGCAGAAGAAGAAACTAGCTGACAGGGATTAAGTAGTAAGAAAGGACTTTGAGTTGAAGGATATATAAGACATGATGGAAAAGAAAAAAGGGCTCTTTATACTCTTTAGCTCTTTAACTTTCAGCTTTTGGCTTTTTCCTCATGGGCTGTCAGGTGAGCTCAGCAGGCCTTTTCCTCCTGGGACATCAGCTGAGTTAGCAAGCTTTTGGCCTGGGGCTTTCGGTTTTTAGTTTTTTCCTTCAGGACCTGAGCTGAGTAGGAGAGTTAGCTGGACGCTTTCTCTGGCTCCTGTGTAATGGAAGTTTTGGTTTCTTTAAAAACTCGGTTATGTTATGTAAACATGTTTTTGGTTTAATCCCAATCATGGGGTTTTAGTTTGTCCATAGCTGGTAACTGCCTCATGCAGAGGCGTGGTCTTTGCTACCTGGAGTTAGTTGAATTCTGAGGACTTCGAGGGGTATAAATATAACAGCCCAGAGGAAGAAGGCGTGGCAGCTTGGAGGAGGAGGATGGAGGACTGTTGCTGCTTTTGCTGGTTACCTGACCACTAAGATCAATATTGCCCCAAAAAGAATCCCATGGCCCTACCCAGCCATAGCAAGTAAACAGACCCCAATGAAGTAGCATTTAAACTAGCACCTACACTCCTCAGTCTTCATTGGTAAAGTTTAATGATTTGAGATTTTTTTGTTGTTCTTAAAACAACAATTTTCTACATGGGTCATTGATTATTATCTGGAGCCACTGGAAACAAAAAAAAAAAGTGCTTTTTTGTTTGTTTGTTTTTTTGTTTTTTCCTTTTCTTGTGAACATATTTGTTTCAGGTATCAAGCAATCAATTTTTTTTTTTTTTTGGCATTTCCTCTTAATAGTCGAAGATTATTGAAACTTTAAACATGGTGTTAGTTGTTTATTACTGGCGTGTCCTTTAAAATCTGGTTTAGAAATCAAGTAACTAAATGTTTGGCTTTAAACGCAAGCGAAGAAATTGATGCAAGAGCAGCTGAAGGCTGGCAGGCTGCCGTGGGCGGGGCTGTAGCTTTCAAAGGAAGATGAACATCAGTGCCAGAAGATGGGGTGCAGTGACCAGCACTGAGGCTCCAGTCACTCCTGCATCTAGACGCTTTCTCCCTCCTCTCTCTCCCTCCATGAACTTGGAGGGTCTCTCTACTTGATGCCTCTGATGGAAAGCAGCTTCCCTTTCCTCTCCGACCTGGCTATCTTCACAGGGTTCCCTGCACTTACTCCTCAGTCTCCTTCACAGTAGCTTGGTCAATGGTGCAGGTCAACACCCAGTGGTTCTGCACTGACTCTTCCAGTGGGTTCCTGAAGACAGGTCAGCACAGGCACCCATGACTCTGAAAGCCACAAACTCAAACAGAAAACCTTCAGTGCCCCACCCAGGCCCCCAGTCACTGGGGCATGATCCAGTGCCAAGAATACGGCTTCCCCAGCACCTGCATACAGCGGGGCTCCGAGACCCATAACTGGTTAAATGAAATCCTCTAGGTATTGAGTCACCATGACCCAAAGATAGCATCATGATGACTAAGGAAAAACTAAAGAAGTCAGAAACAAGAAAGACTGTTCACTTGCAACTCTTACTCATTATAATGTTTGAAATCTCAGAGCAATAAGGCAAGAGAAAGAAATAAAAGAGATACAGAGAGGGAAGGAAGAAGTCAAGCTGTCTCTCTTTGTAAGTGATCCTCTCTTTAGAAGACCCTACAACTCCACCACAAGGCTTACAATGAAAAGTTTCAGCAAAGTAGCAGAACATAAAATCAACCTCAAAACAGCACCTTTTCTACACCAAAAAGGAATTCAGGAAAATAACCCCACCCATGGCAGACTTAAAAAGTACCTAAACATCACCATTGTGGAAAAGGCGGACAACTCTGACTTAAATCTAGTTTTATGGCTTTTCCAGTGAGTTTCTTAAGTTTTTAAGACTAGAAAAATCAGACAAGATTAAGGGAAAAACACAAACATACAAATTAGGGGATTTAAAAATTCTCCGGTAACAAAAACAACAGAATAAAACCAGTAAGAATGTAGAAAATCTGAAACACCATAATACATGATCAATCACCACAGAAACGAACTTGCAGAATACACTCTTGAGTGTCCCTGGGATGTGCAATAAAAACAGGCCATTGCAATAACTTCACAGTGGCCAGCAGATTCAACCAGTCATCTGTATTCAAAATTACCTAAAACACAAAATGGCTGTCTGAATTAAAGCTCTTTAGGTTTGGGATTACTTTCAATTAAATTAAATTCCATTCACTCATTAAACAAGGTTTCAAAAAACCAAGAATCCTTTCTGTCGATGTATTTATTATTCTTGCTGCCTGGATGGGAGACATTTCTGGTAAAGAAAGATTGTGATGGAGATGTCTACTCAGCCTGAAAAAGAGGCAGGCAGCAGTGTGAATGGAAAGGCAGAGGAAAGGCACTCATGCTCTTCACCCACCGCGTTCTGGGTGTCGGCAACAGAGGTGAATTAGTAAGAGCTGAGGAAGCAGACAGAAACAGAGATCACGTCCCCAACAGACTGATGTATCATGCCTCAGAGTCGTCACGCTCTGTATGAATTGGGATGTCTTACAAATTAAACTGATTGCATTTTAGACAGAAATATAGAAAAACTTCGGGTACTTAAAAGATTAATAATAATTTACAATTATCTGAAAGAAAATCTGTGTTCTGCCTAAGTTTAATGAAAACTATGCTACAGGCTTGAGCCAGGGAGCTGATCAAGCCAGTCGGTTTCACCCGACTAAGAAGCATTTAGAGCGTGCAGCCTCATGGCTCATCTTCCTACCTGTAACAAGATGTCCCGTAGGGACACTCAGGCCTGTTATCAGTCGCACCTTCATCTGTGACTTGTACATCTCCATAATCACTATCACCAGGGTGGCTGAAGTGTTGAAAATGGAGAGGATTCTTTCTGTGAGGGTGATAAACATACTGTCAGGAAAAAAAAAAAAAAAAAGAAAGAAAGAAAGAAACAGCAGAAGTTGTGCACTTGTAGTGGCTGTAGAGTGAAACCAACCAACACCTGATTATTCCAATAAAAAAAAAAAAACAACAAATGCAATGCTGATGACATAATAAACACAGATGGCATCCCCATGCCATGTGCTCACCAACTTGATATCTAGCTGTTGGAAAACGGTCGGGTGTTTGTGAGAACAAACACTCCAAGAGAGCAAGACAACAGTCTTGTGACTTCGGTTCAGAATGTGTTTCTGTGCCCCTCCCGGGTGTAGCAGAGAGGCATTGAGTTTACTTCAAATTACTCAGTATTGCTTGCTGCTGTTATTCACTTAAATGTTTAAACTATCCTTTGTGTGTCTCTATGAAAAAAACATGTTTTTGCTGTGTGTGGCTTGTCCCTGTTATTGTTCAGAGCTTGAACTCATGAGAGCTTTAACCCTCATAATATAAACTGTCTGAGGCTCTGAATAAAGTTGGCCATACTATAAAACTTCACTTCATTCGCAGAATCCATTCTCCCAGATCCCATCACTTCTAGAGCACATCTAGTCAGCACAGGACTCAAGAAAACAATTTCTAGCGACATATGGCAAGCAATGTGTATAAAAAGATAATCTGTAAACATTAAATTGTTCCTGTAGCTATAAAACAAATACAAGCACCAATAGCCTTTAAAGATTTCTGTATCTTCGGCTAAGATTAAAGCATTACCAACATTCTAGAAAGACCCCGTGTTTCCTCTAGACATTAAACTCATTGCTACACAAAGTATACTTTCCTGTCTTCTAAAAGCATTTTTCAAACTCTTTGATTCTGGCTTCTCTTGTGTTCTTAGAACTTATTAGATGCTGGGTGATGGTGGCACATGCCTTTAATCCTAACACTTGGGAGGCAGAGGAAGGTGGACCTCTGAGTTTGAGGCCAGCCTGGTCTACAGAGTGAGTTCTAGGACACCCAGGACTTTAACATAAATAAATAAAAGGTAAAAGGAGCACAGAGAGCCAGGCATGGTGGCACAAACCTGGAATCCCAGCACTCGGCAGTCAGAGGCAGGAGGATCTCTGTAAATTCAAGACCAGCCTGGTCTACATAGCAAGTTCCAGGACAACCGGAACTATACTCCCTATATATATAGGGAGACCATGTCTCAAAACACAAAAAGGACCATGGAGGACATCAGAAGAGAATAAATAAAAATAACATATAATAAAAGATACAGGAAAATATTATAGTAAAACCCACTAGTTTGTATATTAATTTTTAAAAATTAAAACACAAAGAAGAATGTAAACTTAGAAAATACAGACTTGGAATATTATCCATTTGAGAAAAGGAAGAGCTCATTAACACTGAGGCTGAAGACAAGCTAGATTTTATGACTTTATAGATATGTATGTGTTGGGTATGTGGGTGTATCTCAAACTCAATTTGCCACTCTTCCCCTTCTTTATAAACATTTCAATAAAAGTTACTTTTTCCTCTTCGTTACAAGTACAAACATTTTGATTTAAACATTTTCAGGCATTCTTTCTTTCAAAATTAACGAAAAGTTAGTTACTACCTGAAGCTAAGATTAAAACCAAAATATCATAAAGTATGGGTGGATGAGTTATTATGTGATAAAACATTTGGTCCTTTTAACAGGAGGAAATGACAATGTTGAAGAGTGCTACCTACTGAATTGTGCCCTGCTCAAAACTCCTATGTTGGAAGTGCTAATTTCCAATATTCCTATGAGAGAGATAATTTAGGTTAAGTGAGGTCATAATGCTGAGGTTCTAACACAAAATTAGTTGCACCTTCCGAGGTGAGGAAGAGATACCAGAAGAAGCCACAGAGAGAAAAAGATACCTAGAAAGCAACCATCTTTGTCGCTAAAAATAAAAGGTGTCGGGCTAATTATATTTATTATTAGCCCTATTATTATTGTGGCAGTATTATTTAACCCACTATCACAATTAACAAAAGACATAGACAACTGTTAGATTTTATAATCGCCTTGTGACACCTTGGGCTGGGCAGTAATTCCACCTACGCTCTCTTATCTCCCAGCCCACATCCCATCCATCTGCTTTAATCACTCCCCTCTGGGCTACCTTCCATCCATAATCCCAAGATACTGGCTGGTATTCTTCATCTGGCTCGCTCCTCTCCACGCCATTTTCAGAGTCCTCCCTCCAGCCCCACATGGCTCTCTCTCCACCTAACCCATGGTAGCTTCCTTCCTCCTCTCTTCCCATCTGTCTCCCAAGATCCAAGCCCTTGAACCTTAGTTCTGCCCACCTGACCTTTTCCTTGCCAAGATGCAGGCTTTTTATTTGCCAACCAGGGAGACAAAGTGTCCATGGTTATTTGGGGTGTGGGAACAAGCAGACCTCAGGGGAGAAAGCAATTCACATTATGACAGCACTAGACCAACCCCCAACAACCTGCAAGGCAAGAGAAAAGCCAGGCTTGCAGGCTCTGGAACCTAGTATTTCTCATGTCCTGGGCTGAGAGAAGACGAACTTCTGTTACTAAAGAACACAGTCTAAGGTATTTTGTATGGCTACGTTAGCCAGACAACATAAACATAAAACAGGACTTTTCAAAATCCAAAGTAATGTGCTGTAGAGTTTTACATTATATTCTAGGCGTAGGAACATTCCACAGGCAATATCATATATAAACATAAAACTCAGAACTGTTGGAAGTGAAAATATAGTTACTCTAATGCCAAAATGACAATGTATTCCGAAGAGAGAGGATGAGAGTGAAATGAACGTGGTGTGCCTATACTGTGCACACTGCACTGAGATGCACGGCAGAGAGAGCCTGCCACATGGGATGGCAAACAATGAAAACAGACCAGTTAGCACCTGCTGCTATAAACCTTGGAGATTATGCCAGGTCCAAAACTATGATTATAATTTGAATTCATGAAATATGAATTCATGAAGATGTCATTTTCCTAATTTTCAAAGTAGAAAAAAAAAATGTTCTATTTTATAGAAAAGTGTGACGGAAATACACAAATGCAATACCATGTCTAAACACAATCTAAAATTACCCTCGGCAGAGGAGTTACAATAACTATTTCCGAAAGCATCTCTTTAAGGTTAAGACCTTGAATGCGCAGGTACTTGAGTTGGGTGACTCAGTTAAGTCTGGGCCCCCAGTGCTGAGGTCCTTGCATTAGTCAGCACGTCTACACATAAAGCATTTCATTCCCCCCTTGCATCCTAAAAGCTTCTGGCAGGACTTCCCAGGATGTACAGCGGGACAGTGCAACCCAGTAAAAACGCAGCAAAGCCTACCCATAAGGCAACGGCTTCCTAGGCTTTACTACACAACAGTACAGAACTGCACTGAAGTCCCGGGCTGAAACGCAGGTCCATCTTACCTGTAACAGCTGGCCCCATACATGCAGGGCGTCCTCCGGACCCTGCTTTCTTCTGAACGGCCTACACCTGAATCAGCCGTGTCTGTGTGCGAAGCAGCAGGACCGGAGGGAGCAGAGCTGGACTCGGGATGGGATCCTTGAGACTCCGTGGGGAGTGATGTGCTCTGGACACGTGCATGACTTTCAGGACGGCTCACTGTCTCACCGTATTTGCTTGCTGTCGCTCTGGTAATGCCTTTATTTTTAGACACCTCACCAAGGTCCTCAATTGGAATTGCACTGCTCAGTTCATTTGTCTTCACGATATCCACATCTGGGTTACTTAATGTGATTGAAAACAATGATTCTGGAACATCCTATAAAAGAAATCCAGAAAAGTCATCATTTTTTTAAAAAATTAAATACCAGTCGGTGATGGTGCATGCACTTGGAAGACAGAGAAACCCTGACTCAAAACATTAAAAAACAACAACAAAAAGCAAACATTTCAGGGGTCTTTCCTGAGACTGATACTCCAACCAAGGACCATTCATAGATATAACCTAGAAACCCTGCACAGATGTAGCCCATGGCAGCTCAGTATCCAAGTGGGTTCCCTAGTAAGGGGAACAGGGACCATCTCTGACATGAACTCAGTGGCTGGCTCTTTGGCCGCCTCCCTCAAATGGGGGAGCAGCCTTGCCAGGCCACAGAGGAGGACAATGCAGCCAGTTCTGATAAGACCTAATATGCTAGGGTCAGATGAAAGGGGAGGAAGACCTCCCCTATCCATGGACTTGGAGAGGGGCATAGGAGAAAATGAGGGAGAGAGGGTGGGATTGGGAAGGGAGGTGGGAGGGGACTACAGCTGGGATACAAAGTGAATAAACTGTAATTAATATAAAAATAAAAATTTAATTAAAAAAGAAAAAATGTAAAAAAGCAAACATTTTTCTTAAAAAATAAATATATAAATTAAAGTTTAAGAGGACAAAAATACAAGTTCCATGATATGAAAAAACTTAAAACTTTAAGCTTCTCATTTTAAAGTTACTAACTATATCCATTTTCTGTTTTTTGTTTAGAAACATCTTAGCAATTTGTAGTTCTTAAAATATCAATTTACAGCACTAATGAACCTTTATAAACTATGTCAGATATTTAGTAAAATATTTAGAAAACATACAAAAGAAACTTGAGAACATATTCTTTTGCCATCTGTTTGGCTTGGTTTGGGGGGTGTCTGTTTGTTTGTTTGTTTGTTTGTTCTTGAGACAGAGTCTTACTGTGTAACTTTCTTTGGCTGTCCTGTAACTCATTATATAGACCAGGCAGGCCTGGAACTCAGAGATCTGCCTGCCTCTGCCTCCCAGGTGCCAGGGCTGAAGGCATGTGCCACCACCACCAGGCTTCAAGAACTCTATTTTGTTGTCACATAATCTCACTCAAAAACTCTTTTATGTCACTGTCCAACAACACTGACCTTCTAGTTTCTTAAAAGTGACTGTTGTATTTCTCTCTAGATCATGGAACTTTTCATATGGTAGAATGACAAAGCTGGTTCACACCTACAAATCAATCTGTGTGAGGGTATGCTATCGCCAACTACAATAGGCAAGCAACTTTGCTTTGAGGTGGTCTGATAAAGGTGTCAGGTTAGCCAATTAAGCCTAGAGAGCCGACACCCACCATCTTGTTAAGTGGATAAAATAGACAACTGCCTTCTAATATTGATCCTTACACCCAGATTACTGCAGCTCACTTCTCACCAAAGGGGCTTCTTTTCTCAGACAACTACAACTGGTCAGAGTGCAGAGAATAAGTGACTGTGGAGAGTCCATCCTCAAGTGAGATATCTACAACACAATCCCGACAGCCAGGACTCAAGAGGCACTGCGGAAGAGAGGGTAGGAAGAGTGTAAGAGCCAGAGCACTGAGAGGGCTGCTGTGATACTGCCTTCAGTCATGGCTGCCTGCACAAGACTCGCAGAAGACCAGGCCACTTACCATCCCAGCACAGGTGGCTCCTGTCCAGCTCAGGAGGCTCTACCCCCAGCTGAATAACTCCAGGCAGTAGACGGTTTGCTGAGGGAGAGTTGGTTTTCTTCAGGCCTGAGCCCCCTGGTAGGCTGCCCACACCCTAAGGTTAGCCCTTTACCTTTATCCATGCAGACAGGCAACAGTAACTGGACCCAGCACGTTATATTATGATAAATAATAACAAGGTAAGGAGAAGGAAGAGCTGGAGGAGGAAGAGGAGGAGAACATGAATTTGAGAGGACGTACAAGGGTATGCAGGAGGAGTTAGAGGGAGGAGGAAGTAGACATGATCAGTACTGTACTCAGATACAAAATCTCAAAAATTAAAAATGTTTACAAAAGAAGGTGCCCTGAACCAAGGAGATTCTAATCACCACTGTATGCCTTTTTAATTTGTACTGGCCATCAGCATAAAGAACAAGCCAGGTCTTTAAAAAAATGATCGCGTAAGGACTCCTCTTTCTGTGGAGTAGAAACATTGCTCACTTAAACACAAGTCTCCTTGATATCCACATCAGAGATATGGGGAGCACATACCAGGCACAGCAATGTTTACCCCAGTTCTGAGTAAGGGCTCGGGTCTGTTGGCTGCCATCTGGCAAAAGCTGATTTTAGTATTAATAGATGGCTAATATTTCAAATTTAACATATTATTCACATGACTTCTTTTGGACTAATTATTTAAACGTTTGAATATTTTTAAAAGAAACTGTAACTTCAAAACACTATTCACACCAGCTAATCATACTCTCGAAGGACCGTGGGTCTCCTCACAGCTCTGCACAGCAGCAGATAAGCCAGGGAAAGCAGTCACTTGGCTATTTCTTATAACTCACCCTTGGATGATGGCATTTTTATGCTACATACCTCCAAGCCATACACTCTACTTCCCTATTGCACCCCAACCATCCCCTTCCATTCAGGACCAACTGGCACAGGCCAACTGGAAGTCAGGGCTGGGAACTGAGAAGTCCTGATCGACCTGCCCACTTGACAGCTCTCTCACTTGACAGCTCTCTCACTTGACAGCTATCCCTCGTCTCCTTCCCTCTACAAGTCATCTTCTATCCTCAGAAGGGAAGCAAGAGTCGGAAGCTCTGTGCTCCCCTATGCCTTAAAGGGTCCCAGCTTCCAGGTATCTTTGTACAAAGCCTGGAGATGAAAGGGTGAACAGTTCTCATGCCTTTCAACAAGCCTAGGGGGAAGGGGTATTTCCTTCCAAATATAGGGTACTGTGGTTCTAGCATCCGGCCACAGGAGAAGTTTGAGAGAAAACAATCCCTTTCAACATCTTATCCAATTTATTTCAAAACAAAACAAACATACACACACACATTGAAAGGTGATTAAAAAAATTTGAATACATCCTGTCTATAAAATACAGTGGCGATGTTGAGCTCACAGTGGCATGGCTAAGGACTGCTTTTAAGAAGTTTTTGTTGTTTGTTTGTTTGTTTGAATGTATTTGTAGGGAGGTGGTGCATGCATGCCCACGCAGGCACGTGTAGAGGCAGGGCAGGGTGTCAAATGTCTTTCTCTCTTACTCGTCACACCATTGGCTCAAAACAGAATCTCTCTGGATCCAAAATCTGCCTTCTGGCTAGGCTGGCTGGCCAGAGAGCTCTCAGGACCTTCCCATCCTTCCCTCAATGTTGGGGTGACAGGCAGGGGAAGCTGCCCCTGGCTTTTCATGTGGGTGCCGAAGATGTGAACTTGGGTTTGCAGTGCTTTCAGAGTAAGTGCTCTTACCCGCTGAGGCGTCTTCCTAGCCCCTCGAAGTATGCTTTTAACTAAAGAACAATATCGTTTTACAATGTCGTTTAACGTTTTAAGTCTTATCTCACACCACCCCCTATTTTTGTAGCAGATAATGACTATTACAGGGATTCACAATGAGTCAAATGTAGAGAACAAGTGACAGTGGGTTTCCCAAACCCAACTTCTATACCTAAGGCTCAGGGTAAGTCATGGCAGAGGGGGCAGAAAGATTTACGAGCCAGAGGAGCACAATGCCTGCCATGAGACAGTGGACATGACACTGAGGCTGCACCCACCAAAACTCAACACTACAGTTGGCTAACTGAGACCTGCATAATAAGAACACCATTTGGCATACCAACATAGCGTAGGAAATTTAACAAGACCCCACCCCTAGATGAAGAGCTACAGGCAATCAGTTGCTGCCGAGAGGGAATCAGTTTTCTCCAGGACGAGTCCTCTGACAGGTCATCCAGTCCCGGGGGCTTAAACACATGTACATGTAAGCAACCCTAAATGTAGGTTGTGTGTGCATGTTTAATTATTGTTAACAACAACAATTAAGTGGGAGTGTGGGGGAAAGGACGGGAAATTATGTAACTATTCAAGCATGACACCCTCAAAAAATTTAAATTAAAAGATTTCTCATAAGCCAAGTATAGTCGCACATAGTCACCAAAGTACTTGGGAGGTTGTGGCAGAAGGCTAAAGTTATGAGACAAGTTGAGTTCTACAGAAAGTCCATGTTGAAAACAAATGCAGCATCTTTATATATGCATAACTGCACAAATCCAGGTGCCTTTGTAATGCTACAAAAATCAATACAAACATGGGACTGAAGAATGAGTCAAATGAAAATTTTCATTTTTAATAAATGTTTCTTGATATTCTACTTTGACAAGAAGTGTGTATCATTCTGTTATTTAAAATGAAAAAAACAAAGAGAATGAAGTGCACAATATCATGTACATCATCGTCCACCTCTCTGTATCCATGAAACATGAAGAAGAATCTGCTTTATTAAAAACTAAACTTTAGTTCCTCACAAGGAACACGCATGACATGCTGACTTAGAAAAGAAACATTAAAACTACAGATGTCAATGCTATAAATTAGATTTCAAATAAGAGAGACAGCTGGCCATGGCAGCACACGCCTTTAAATAATCCCACCACTTGAGATGTAGAAACAGGCAGATCTCTGTGGGTTTGAGGTTAGCCTTGTCTACAGAGCGAGTTCCAAGACCTAAGAACTAAGACCTAAGACGCCAACCCCCCACACACAAAAAAGTCAAATAAGAGACACAAAAGTTGGAAATCATAATGCTCTTTATGGAACTCCATGCAATATTAATATATAACAGGGTTGGCATTCAAGAATTTAACATTCTTGGTTTCAATTATTTATAAATGATCCCAAAATCCATTACACACTGTAATTTTAAGTTTGCTGATCCATAAATTTGAACTGGGCCAATTCCAAAGCTCATGGGCTTGAGTAAGACACTGACCTGGTAGGGAAGGGAACAGGAAAAATGGAAGGTACAGCTACAGCAAGTAGAAGGAGAACTTCAGATTTA